CAGTGGCCTCGGGCGCGCGGGCCGCAGGTTCCTGTTTTCACGAGCCCCGGGCAGGAGCAAACCGGCGTGGCCTCGTTGGCCTTAACTTCGGCTGCAGGACTGTGACCTGGGTTTGTCGCCAGCCTGGTCGCCGCTTTGCAGGCGAGAAAGCAGGTTGTGTTGTTGCTGCCCGCATAGCCCGCGGGCAGGGAGCGGGGCCGACAGGTGCCCCCGCTCCCGAGGAGACGGCAGTGAGCACGGAAGTGAACACCAGGAGTAGTGCAGAGAGGGACACTGCCCGTGACAGGTGCGTGAGAGACGGGCCTCGGGGCGGGGGCGATCACGCCCTTCCCGATGGAGGCCAGGCAGACACCATATATCCTTTCATAAATTGCGCGTTCGCTCCTCTCAGGCTGACCCTAGTTCGCACTTGGCAGCGGAGAAGCCGAGGCTCAGCAAGCCAGGGCTGACAGTGCAGGCCAGCTCGACGCCGGCCGGCATGCTGGGGTCTGCTCGTTCTGGCTGCGCTTAGCGCATCCGCACGTCCTCTGGTTCCTTATTTAATGCCTGCTTTCCCCACTAGCCGAAGCTCCTCAGGGCCAGGGGTCACTGGCGTCTAGCACTGTGTCACCTTGCCTTCCACAGAGAAGGTGCTTGGCGAATGCAGATGAGGATGAACCTGTGTGACGAATCCAGACATCTTGTAAAAAGCCGAACAAGGGGCGAGCATACAAACTGCTTTCACAAATGTGCTTGCTTCTCCTTTCACTCACTTCTGCCCACTAGAGTCAGGATATATTGCTTCACTTTACAAAGTTGGAAACGGAGAGAACACAGGTGATGTCTGCATCAAGTCTGGTTTAGCACTGTCTGGAAACTGGCTTCCCCTGGTTTATGTTTGCTGATTTTTCGTAGTGTAAATACCCCTGCCAGTTAGCAGGGTGCTGTCGCTGAGCACAGAACTTGGAGAGATGCGCAGTAGCTCCCCAATATGTCTCCCAGGTGTCAGAGCTATCACACTACAACCCGAGTTCTGTCTGCTCACCCACAGAGTGCGGCAGACCTCGCCCGCCCGCCCGCCTGCTGCTCCCTCAGCAGTGAATTTCAGTAGATGCCCCTGTTCTGCTCCCTATACACACTCTCTTTCAATAAAATATCCTAGAGACATTAGCAATAATCCAGTTTCCGATTAGGTGCAACACACATCAAGGGTCTTGGAAGGTCTAGCATGCAGTATCCACCAACAAGTAGAAAATACAGTGAAATTTGAGACACAGGACTAATTTAAAAAATTTCCTATTTTATGTCAGAGGATTGCTTGATACAGTTTCATACTAACCTTAAGAACATAGTAGTGAGTAATTTTTTAAATAGGAGTAACAAGTTTGGAGTATTTATTTTGTTTTAAATATATAGTTTATGTAGTTGCAAGTTGATTTCATCTTTAGTAACAGCTGTGCTTGGTAGCCAGCTTGCTGCACAATTCCTCATGAGTCTGGGAAGCCCACTCTAGCATGTCCTTGCTCTGGGAAGGGTGGCCCTCAGCTCTCTACTTAGGCACTTAGTTTGAGGTGGGTTGCTCTTTTATTTCCCTTGGGAAACAAACTGATGTGTTCCACTGACGTTTGCTGTTTTTCCATTTCCGTGTTCTCACCCACAGGCTTATCACTCTTCTCTCATGGACCCTGAAACCAGACTGGTTGGCAACATGGCGCTTTTGCCTATTAGGAGTCAGTTCAAAGGACCTGCCCCTAGAGAGAGTAAGTCAATATTTCGATATTCTTGATGTATTTATTTGTTTACACTTTAAAAAGGATGGGCAGGTCTTTATACTGTGCAGCAAATAGTAAATCACAATAATGCATAAGGTGAGGTATAAGAATTCACCATTAAAATTCTCCAGGAAGAGGGGAACGATGCATTCTTTCTTGACATTTCGTGGTAAATTATACACATTTCTGGTAATAATCATGTGGATGATTAACTTACAACTCAAAGGGCGCTGGGTCTTGGGAAAGGATGAATTTTATTTAACAGAGGGTGGTTAGGGGTCTAGGGAAGGAATAAATTTTGTGGTAGCAGAGTCATTAGTGATTGTCTAAAGAAAGGCTCAGGGCTCACTTAAGGCTAGCAGAGAATAGTTAGTGATTGTTTAAGGAAAGGCTAATGCAGGAGGAATTTATACAGTCATATATTAAGCAACACCTGTTAAAACAAAGTTAGGAAACTGCCCTTGAGTCCTTGTGCCCTGGAATATCTTTATCTCTGAGGTTTGCTTTTTGTGTCAAAAGACAGAGGAATTTATGCCCTGGGGCAGTGTGTGCCTGCCTGGGCCAGGCAGCCATTTTATGAGAGTAAGGCAATCCAGTTGTAAGCTGATGGTTACTCAGCATGTTTTTGATACTATGATTATACAAAAAGGTGTGTGGGGGGGGTGTCGTTGCATAAGCTAGCAGTAGAGGTCCTGATCTTTCAGAAGGTCTCTTTTCTCCTGCCCAGAATTTGTCAGTTGACAAGAGTTGCATAGCTTGTGTCAGATCTCATTGTAGTCAACTCTAAAACTCTTGACTGTTGAGCTTGGATTTTTTTTTTTAAAGATTGATTTATTTATGCATGCAGAACTGGGGTACAGGCCAGAGATGCAGGGGTGGTGAGAGGGTTCACCAGAGACAATGGGGAGCAGAGCAGGCATATTGACGAAGTACACGCTGAGGGGAGCAGCGGGCGAGACAGGAGAGGTCTGCCGCGCCCTGTGGGTCACCTCGGGGGCGGGGATCTAACTGGCACTGAAGCGGCTGCAGCTCACTTGCAGGGCTGCGCTCTAACCCGCTCTGCCACCAAGGAGGGCCAGATTTTTCTTTTTAAAGTTTTAACATTTTGTATATCACTATGTCTGCCCTTTCTGTCTTGCTTAGCAAAAGATACAGACATTGTGGATGAAGCCATCTACTACTTCAAAGCCAATGTCTTCTTCAAAAACTATGAAATCAAGGTAAAACAGAGATCTTAAAACTTCATTGAGTTTTGTAATGGGGCTAGTATCTAGCAATGAAGGTTGTTAGGAGGAATAAATAAAGTGAGATTGTGTGATTAAAAAAAAAAGAATTCAGGACAGTTCCTCACATTCTCTGTTTAAGTAGTTTCTTGTTTTTCCTCCAGTCTGCACCAGGCATTGGCGAACCACAGCCTGAGAGCAGGTCTTCCCCTGTGCCTGCGGCCTCTGTGTAAAGAAAGCTGTAGAGCCCAGCCACATGCATTGTGTCCATGTTGTGTCTGCCTGCTTTCACGCCACAGAAGCTGGGCTGAGTAGTTGTGGCAAACTCTAGCTGGCCTGCAGAACCTTTCTGTCCTTTACACAGGGAGTTTGCCAGCCTGACTCTAGACACCTTTTTAGTCACTGTTATTTAGGCACCTACTATGTGCCAGTGCATAACTAAAAAATCCTATGTGCTATCTGCTTCTGTGTCCTGGACCTCAATGGAGAAATAAAGAACTTTGGTAATCTTGACACTCCCTCAGCCAACTCTTTGTTCCCTTCTGCTCCTGGTTCTTTTGGAAAAGGTGGTCGAGAGAAAAGTGGAGGCAGGGTGGCAGAAAAAGAGAGGAGGGAGTAGGAGGAAAATGGAGTTTTCCAGGCTCCTGTTACAAGTGAGTTAAAAGCTATTTCTACAGTTTCTTGATAAAATTCTAGAATATGGAATTTCAGCTTCTCCTTGCCCAACTCTGACCTTTTAGAATCAAACAGGATGTGAAATCTCTATTTGTAGGCTCTTGTTCTACAAAATGTAGTCTAAACCTCTGTGCTGGTAGCAGACTTCTCTTTTTCTGCTGTGTAATAATTATAATTCTGCCACCTTTCATTTTCTCTCTCGCAGGAAAAGGAATCTGTAGTTTCTTTAAAGCTACAAATCTATGTAAAATTTGACCTGAAGCACAGAGCATATTTGATCACTGCTTGTCTTCTCTCTAATTGCCTGTTTGGGTAGGTCACAAGTTGGGCTCCTTCAGCTATTCAAGAACAAGTCCCATGTGAAATGTTTGCTTCCTCCTTTGGAGAAATGGGTCTGTTCTCGGCAGAGATCCCGAAGTGAAATTTTTAAAACTTAGCCAACCTTACGGTGCGCCTTATGTTCCCAGGCAGCTGTGTTAACTCGCTTCCTAACAGAGTGAGGGCGTGGGCACAGCTGCCCAGGACCAGAGCGAGGGGCAAGGAAAACAAGTAACCGAAGCTGTAGGCTCCCTCCGGAGCAGGCAGGCGCTTGAGAAGTCTGCATATTTGGAGAAAGGAAGGTTTTGACGCTGCGGTAACATCACCATCACTTTTCCTTTGATAATCCAAGATTGAGTCCATGTGCACACAGCTGTTTTCATTTGTACTTTATTGCACAGAATATGTCTTGATGAGGATTTAAAATTTTGTTCTCTTGTAGAATGAAGCTGATAGGACCTTGATATATATCACTCTCTATATTTCTGAGTGTCTAAAGAAACTTCAAAAGGTAATTCAACTTGAATGATTATCTCTCAGGAAAATAAACTGTTAACAGATATTTACCTCTCAGCCATCTGGGCTAAGGGAGACTTTTCAGGACAAGTACAGAATATTTCCTTTGCCTGAGCATGGATTTCAGAGGAAATCTAGACTAACAGGGTGGTGGATTAATGAGAAATAAGCGGGACGGTGTTTTCGGGCTTGGCATATATTTTCCCAAGACAGAACTGTTAACTTTCAAATTGCTTCTAAGGGCTTGGCTTAAAGAGGGGTTTGTAAGTGAGGAAGGGAGGCTAGAATTCAAGAGTGCATCAGCTTGAGTGGTGAAAACGGTATGTATTTTGTCACTAGCCTGTGACTCACGCTCAGCTTTGCTTCAGTTGAGAAGGTAGGGACACCCCAGGTGGCATTAGCAACACCCGTGACTGACTGCAGTAGCGACCACTACATTGTCTTGTAACTTTTAGCATTGAAGGTCCTTTGAAAGTTTGTTCAAGGCCCGACTACTTCAGAGTGTTCTTAGGCCCCTGCTGGATCTTGTTGCTCATTGCATGTTACCCTAGAAACAGTTGTATAGTTATCTAGTTCTATAGCAGTGTAATTGGTTTCTTCAATTCTACATATTTTATTTATTGAAAATATTCCGAGGAGAGGTCCGCAGGCATCCCAGGTTGCTAAAAAGCAGAACAAGTACATGAATCAGCTCAGCTGTTGTTACTTAGCTTGAAAAATTGCAGGTTGAATAGGGTCATTCTGTTGCTTATAAAATGTGTTTTTCTTAGTGCAACTCCAGAAGCCAGGGTGAGAAGGAAATGTACACGCTGGGAATCACGAATTTCCCCATTCCCGGCGAGCCTGGGTTTCCTCTGAATGCAATTTACGCCAAACCTGCCAGCAAACAGGAGGACGGTAAGAATGGGGCTCTGCCTCCCTCTCTGCCGCAAGCCCGTGTCCCCTGGACTTCACGCTCCTGCCTTTCTCTTTTGTGCGGTTGGTATTGAGGAGCGTGGAATCATCGTGAGGACATACTAGTCGTTCTCAGAAAACAGGTACCGTGGCAGTGTGTGTGACCTGCAGAGAATCTTGTGGACCAAGATGACTGTAGCTGTAAAGCTCTCTAGCCTGTCCACTTTTCTTTTTTTTGTTTTTTTAAGGATTCAGTATTTTATTTCGTGATGCTTACAAAAACTGGGGTGTAGGCCGTAGGTCTGGGGGGGCAGGATTCACCATGAACTGTGGAACAGACAGATGGATCCATTGAAAGCAGATACACTGCTGAGGGGGGCAGCAGACAAGACAGGAGAGGTCTGCTGCGCCGTGTGGGCCAGCTGCAGGGCTGGTGAGAGCTTGCTGGTGCTGAGGCATTAACTGCTGGGCCACCAGGGCCTCCCTGGCCTGTCTGTTTCTTACTCTGTTCAAGTGCATAGAAATGTGGTGCCAGGCCAGCAGCCATCACAGTTGGGGTGCGGTTTCATCTTCAGATTTTTTTAAGTCATTGTACCTGCTTCTGTGTTTAGAAGTGATGAGGGCCTACTTGCAGCAGCTGAGGCAAGAGACCGGACTGAGACTCTGTGAGAAAGTTTTTGACCCACAGAATGATAAACCCAGCAAGGTAAGACCTTTTCTTCGCCTCACCTTTTCTTCTGCAGCTGCCACTAGACATGCTCAGGTCTCCCGTAGCAGTACTTTGACTTTCTGCACTTGGCTGCTTCACGTCGAGTGTTCGCCTATTCCGGGTTCACCAAAACACTGGGGTGACGCCGGGGGCATCCAGTATTGGGCTTGTAGGTTCTTATGTCAGGGCGCTGTAAACCCGGGGGCCAGGTTCTTTGTGTGAGGTGTCTTGAACATGTTACATTTGTTTTGTCATAGTAAGGGCTCCCAGACTTACACTAAGCTTCGTTGACTCCTGTTCTGACCTTACTTGAACTTGCTGCGATTCGACCACCATCGTTCATTCTGTTTTGTTCCCTCTTGTCAGTGGTGGACTTGCTTTGTGAAGAGGCAGTTCATGAACAAGAGCCTTTCAGGCCCCGGACAGTAAAGCTGGCCCGGCAGACGCTTGTCTCATCAGCCTCGGACAGCGTTTTACAGCACAAAAGTTCTTTGCATGTACATCTTGGAGTTTTATACAGAGGGGAGGAGTGAGCTTGCCTTTATTGCAAAAGCTATCAAGAGTTTGGGCGGGAGTCGGGTTGGGCGGCGGGATGAAACTTTGCATTGCTAAGCTGATGTTGAACAAACCTAATAAAGAAATTTCTAATGTTCCCTGTTAAGGAAACTATTGTTTACCTTTGACATTCCTTTAAAAACATGTTGAGGTCGTTTTCATCCTTTAAAAATATACAAGTCTTTAGTGTGTGCACAGAATTTTGCAGCCATTGCCATTCACCCAAAAGATTTACATAACCACAAAAGAAACATTTTATCTGTCTCTTTAGCAGTCACACCCACCCGCACACCCCCACTGCTCTCCAACCCCCTCTTGGTCTGCCCTTCCCACCCACATCACCCAGCCCCCAGCCCCTGGCAGTCCCTGGTCTACGTTCTGTGGAGTCGCCTACTTCTTGCATTTCACGTAGATGTGCTCGTACAGTGCCAGACCTTTCGGGTGTAACTAGTACCTGTACCTCATTCCTTTCTTTTTCATAGGAAACAGTGTACACAACCCTGCCATTGTAGCCGTTCCTCAGTGTGCGATTCACTGGCATTGGTGACACTCACAGTCCCGGTCTGCTACCCCTGTATCCCCCAGACTTTCATTACCCCAAGGGAAGCACCATCCTCCCAGACACGGAGTCCGCTGCCAGTCTCCGAATCTGCCCACCCTGGAATCAAACCGCATCTGTCCTTTGTGTTGTATTCAGGATCGGCACTTCGTTCCTTTTTGTGAGTGAACGATACTGCTCTGTATGGCAGACCCATGCAGAGGGTGGCTTTTACCTTTTGGTTATCGTGAACAGTGTGGCCAGGAACATTCATGTACAAAGGTTTGTGTGGACCTGTTTCCATTTCTCTGGGTTAAATATACCTAATGTAGGAATTGCTGAGTCATGTGTCAACACTTCATTGAACTTTCTGAGAACTGCCAGAAAAGTTCCTTTTTCCACAGTGGCTGCTTTATTTTGCATTCCCACCAGCGATTTATTTTAATTTCTCCCATCAAAGTACTAACCAGGTCCGACGCTGCTTAGCTTCCGATCAGACGAGATCAGGCGCATTCAGGGTGGTATGGCCGTGGACAGCTTACTTTAATTTCTTTACCTCCTCAGCACCACTGATTTGCTTATAGCATCCTATTGAGTGTGAAGCATATTTCACTGTGGTTTGGATTTACATTTCCCTAATAACGAATCATGAGCAGCATAGCTAAATAGACCTATCTCCAAAGAAGACATACAGATGACAGAAAGGCACATGGAAGAATGCTCGTCATCACATCATCAGGGAGAAGCAAATCAAAACCACAGCGAGACAGCGCCTCACACCCACGAGAATGGCCCAGATCAAAACGACCAAAAACAACAAATGTTGGTGAGGCTGCGGAGAAAAAGGAACACTTGTACACTGTAGACTGGCCCAGGCCCTTTGGAAAACAGTGTGGAAGTTTCATTAAAATTAGACTGACTGGCCTCCCTGGTGGCGCAGCGCTGTCAAGCTTTCTGTAGCCACAGCAGCAGGAGTTTGATCCCCGGCCAGGGAGGGACCCACAGGGCGCGGCAGACCTCTCCTGTCTCACCTGCTGCCCCCTCAGCAGTGTGTTTCAGTCCCTCTGCCTGCTCTGCTCCCCACTCTGCCTCTGGTGAAGCCTCTCACCCCTTTACCTCGGGCCTACATTCCAGGTCTTGTATGCATAAATACATGAAAACAAATCTTTAGGTTTCTGAACACTAGAGTATGTTTTGTGCTGATGGGCAGAGGGCAGAACCTCTTTAGAACGGGCAGATCTGGGGTTCTTGGTTACCCTCCACCTGCCCTGTAACATTTTGGCCGTCTACAAAGGCAGAAGGGAGAGACCAAGAACCTAGTTTAGATGCGGAACACAGAAATACATTTTTCATATGCCAGGAAAAAAAGCTGGCAAGCAAAAGTTTGAAAAAGGGCGGATTTGCCCGAGGTGTCATACTGCTTCGCTGTAGAACCCAAAGTCAGTGTCAGTCACTAGCGCTGTTTTTTACCCCCTGACATAACACAGCGTTAAGTGTCTTAGTGTTGAAGCCAGACACTGTATCAGGAGCGTATTTCTGCTGCCGATTCAGTGTGTTTAGGTTTTTCTGAACAGGATAAAGGGGTGTCGGGAATAAATGAGGCCATCCAGACGCCGTGGTTATTTTAATGTGGGAGTGTTAGTTTATTTTTTTCATTTATTAGCACTCCCGAGCTGGGCGCTCATTTCTGAGGGGCTGCAGTCGCTCGGGGTCCATCAGACACCGGGAAACCGCGCGCTGGTGCCAGGGCGCGGCCCGAGGCCCCGGCCC